GCTAAAATAATAAAATTCATGTTTTGTCATTAGTCCTTGATACGCGTGCAAATTTTCAAAACAATCCTACGACAGGAATTTGGTGAAAATTACTTTGAAAAAACTCATTACATGAATAGGTAAATAAAAGCAAAAAAACGTGTTAAAAATTCATCGCGTTAATAATATTTTTGTTCACATTAGCATAGTGGTTCATTCACATGCCGATTCTTGACTGATCGCTATTTTTTTCCCACTTCTAAGTAACCTCGAAGATTTCTACTAGATTCTCCGGGCTAGTACTGTGAGCTCACGGAGCTCAAACCTTGTGACGTTGCTAACACTAGCCCTAGCTAGAGCAGTGGTTCGCAGAATCTACCACCGGATCGGAAACGCGATCCATTGAGAAGATACGACGAGAAACTCAGTGTCACATACCCTGCATTGTCAATGCACTGTTGAACACAATGTCTGTTGCATAATTTTTTTTTAAAAAAATACCTCAGTCGAAAATTTCGCAATTTCGAAAAACTCAGTCAAGCCTATCTCAAACCAGTCGTTATAGAGGTCAAGAATTTTATTATTAGAAAATCATCATGTTCAATCAATATTTACATTCATCTGACTACGTTTAATTAACTCATTACGTATGCAATTATAAAGGAAAACTTTCCTTTCTTTCGTGTCAACTGCACGCGGTGCGAACTATGTCCATGCGAGAAGACCCAAGATTGAGACACGATTTACAGTAGCCAGCGGCTTGGCTCTGCTCTTGTCATTGCTGAAGTCCATGAGCGACGGTAACCACTCACCATCAGGTGGGCCGTCTGCCTACAAGGACAATAAAAAAAAAGAAAAAATAAGACATCTCGATGCACCACAGTCCAGCTGTCCTTCAAGTCATATGCGTCTCTTTCTGTTTTTTTATGATTATAGGATTACTGGTGGCCCGGAGGCCTTTCCAGTTTCACCAGGACAGTTGGGCGAGCAAAGGCTCAGCTAGAAGGGGTGGGATTAGTTAACAGCCGCCCGAATGCCTCCGAAGGAGACCTAACAACTCAAGAGCAACTGCTTCGCGAATGAATCTACTCCCGGATCGGAATCGCGACCCGCTGAGAAAATCCGGCGAGAAACTCAGTTAGCTGTGTCTATGGGTTAATTCGCTCGTCGAGCTCTTCGCCACAAGCGACGGGTTTGACGAGAACGGTGACCGGTGCTTGGGGTACCTAAAAGCACCGTTAGTGGATCGTGAGGATCCGAGATGACGTGTTTTGGGCGACGTCGACTATTTACCCAGTACATGGTCTCCACTCGAGGATCTTTCTGCCCCACCGGTGGTCCGATCTTGGCGCTATGTGCCTTCCCGTTGCCACTTCAACTTGCTAAGCCTATCAACACCACTAGACATAGTCAAACACAATAAATCAAGTTTATTCTTAAACTCTTAACATGTGCAGAGCACGTGAGTAAACATATATTAAACATGTATGCAAAGTGCTAATTGTCGGTTTGCACAGTAGCCGCCATGAGACCGCCGCGGTCGTAAATCGCGGCGTATCACTAAATAACACCATTAAAATTTCTAACTGGCTATTATGCGGGCTATTCTTAGCGGCACACTGGCAGCTAAAGACAATTTACAAATACTAGAGGTCCCGCATTAGTCGAAATTCGACTATAATTAATTGGAATTGTAAGTTTATACACTATTATGATTGTATTTTATACTTTTATAATCACAAATTTAGCCAAGACTACACTATAAAAAATATTAACAAAGACAAACAATATTTAATCTACTCTCAATTTGACAACAGACGTCAAGAACAAAAGTTTGACAATAAATAGTATGCATGCGTGTGTGCGTCGAATTCATGGTATGTGGTGTGTGTAATGTTTTCTTTATTGATTTCATGTATCTTTTATGCATTATTTAAAAAAAATATTAGCATTGTGCACTTCTTCTCTATATTCTGTATAAGTGTGGAAAATTTAATACTCCTCCGTCCGCGCAATTTTCGTAAAAAGGGATACAAAGTTTTTGCTTCACGTATTAATATATAGATATTCGGGGAACTGGATACAGCACTTACGAACATGATTTGAGACTTACTGTTACTGGTGGTAGGACCACGCGTAAGTCCGCGCGGGTAGGTACCAGCGCCCTGCCTATTTCTGCCGTGAACCAGTAATGCGTTCCGGTTTGAAGGGTGGAGCAACCGTTGTAACCATGCTGAGACCTTAGAACTTATATCTCAAAGTGGGTGGCATATTTACGTTGCAGATGTCAATGGGCTCCAGTAACCATTTAACACCAGGTGGGCTGTGAGCTCGTACACCAATCTAAGCAATAAAAAAAATTACTTACGATCATGATTTGAGACTAATGTGAACAAGATTTCTAAAAACGAATACCTACAGTTTACTGTTAATATAATTAAAATTTAATATCGTATATTTTATTCCTCATTATGTCGAGGGAAATTTTCGAGCATTTTATAAAAAATATATTAATTATTTTGAGTTTCACTGTGTTTCGTAATTTTATTAATAACTCACAAAATTGTTGAATTTACGCGAATGGTACCTAACACACGTTGGCATTCAACAAAAGAGAGAATTCTAATATACACCAAAAAAAAAACATTTAGAAACATTAAACACAAAAAAAGTACAATTTGCGATCTTATCCCTAAGAGCGATCGCTTCCAGACAACCGTCAGGTCAACAAGAATCATTTGGAAACGAATTACACGCGGTGTACCTATTGATCTATTTCTATATTCTATCTTTCTTGTATCTATTGTAATATTGATAAATGGAATTGAGGCTTTGACCCGTGTTTCAAGATGGGTAGCGAAATTTAGACAGTCTATGACACAGCCCGTTTCAAAACTATCTCTCTGCAAAAAAAATCATGTCGATCCGTCGCTATCTCACTACGCGAAAGAAGGTCAAACCAACAGAACACACTTTCGCATTTTAATATGATCATAATAAAATAATTTTTCAAAGGAAGAACCCGAAATGATTATTTCACAAACTAAATTTGATTTCATCTAATTCAATATCATTCTATAATTTAACAAATGATAGCATTTTAATATATAATTCGTCCATACAACAACTTATTAACATATTATTTTGAATGGTCAAATTTAAATCTTAAGTAGCTGCATAGCTGTTATAAAATCGAACGTAAATTCACAACGTGACGTCATTTGGGGTTAAAATAAACAATATGGAATCTCTTCCAGAAATTACTAGAAAACACGTCATGGAATATGCAAGAAAAAACGAATAAAATATTTTAGTGTCATTATTGTGTGATATAACATGTTTTTTTTTATTTTATTGCATAGATAGGTAGGTGGACGAGCTCACAGCCCACCTGGTATTAAGTAGTTACCGGAGCCTATAGACATCTACAACGTAAATGCCGCCACTCACCTTTGAGACATGAGTTGTAAGGTCTTACTTTTAACAGTACAACGGCTGTCCCGCTCTTCTTACCGACATGCATTACTGCTTCACGGCAGAAATAGGGGTGCGGATTCACGTTCTACTACCAGTAATTACGCAAATTATAATTTTGCGGGTTTGATTTTTAATACACGTTGTTATTCCTGCACCGTGGAAGTCAATCGTGTGAACATTTATCAAATACGTATTTCATTAGAAAAATTGGTACCCGCCTGCCGGATTCGAACACCGGTGCATCGCTCTACACGAATGCACCGGTCGTCTTATCCTTTACGCCAAAACGACTTTCCGTTCCATTCCAGTCCATTCCCTGATGAATAACCTAAGTCTCCTTTTTAGTCCTGTAGACACAGGAAGATACTCTAGACCTAAACACAACATATTCAAAATCGTTGTGGTTGTGAAATATAGACAAAGTACTTAAAATTATAAAGTGTCTCTATTTTTCCATTGACCACAACATCGTAGCAGTTATATCTGAGTCGTCTATTATCAAAGGTGGCAATCTGTGCATTTGGACAAAAAAATTTATTGATATGTCAATACAGATTGATTTGAATATAATCGTCTCCTTCAAAGAATACGGTTCAAAACCTGCATTAAATAAAGGTTAATAGTTAACCTGTTATTTATCTAAGATGTCGTTCCGAAGAGTTTTGTGACTGCCAATGGAATACAAAGTCAATAATTCGTTTTTCTGATTTACCAATNTGAAGCAGTAATGCGTTTCGGTTTAAAGGGTGGGGTAGCCGTTGTCACTATACTTCAAAACCTTAGAACTTATATCTCAAGGTGTATGGCGCATTTACGTTGTAGATGTCTATGGGCTCCAGTAACCACTTAACACCAGGTGGACTATGAGCTCGTCCACCCATCTAAGCAATAAAAATAAAAAAACAAAAAAACACTATTATTCGAAATGCAAACATATAAATTAAACTAAATACTTACTTAAGCATGATATTTTTTATCGTCCTTTTAAAAGCAAAAAAAAATATAATATATATTAGGTAATTGAATTACCTGGTGAAAAATTCTGCATGCACACTGTTTTCTGTTTTTTTTTTTAGAAAATTTATCATGTAAAAGCAAGAGATAAAAGCTTTTTATTTTATTTATTTATTATGTAAACAGAACAAAATCAAATTAATTACATTGGCAAACTAGCTGCAAATACTAATCACTCATGAACATTCTTCATCTTACATGGCTGCAAGTTACAGAAAAAACAAAAACTGTGATGGTTTTGCCGCATTAAACCAACGATTCAGCCGATACTAAGTTATTCAATGCACATTCTATTATTATTTTTACGAGTATTTGACGAAAAAATTCCTTACGTGAACCTCTAAACTCATATAGCACTTACCGAAACCCTTGACCCACGTAAACCGCAGACCCTCATGAGCAGCATTTCCTATTCCATGCCATCTCCAGAGGTTGCACAACCTAATCCTTTCGCTGCCCCACCCCGTTGCTCATCACTATATATCCAACTGAGCCATCACCGAGACCACATTGCTTCGTTAACAACCGAAGTGACACACCACCATACACCATGAAAGCCTTCGTCGCGGTAAGTGCAAGTGCAGTGCAGTGCTAAAGTTTAAAGTTCTGCAATCAAAAGTGCTAAGTGATCCCGCGTTCCGATCTCTGGATTGATTCCGTAACGTGCGCGCGTTTGATTTCTGAACTAAAGAATTTAATAACGTAAAAACCGCATTAAGAATATTAGTAAATTTTCAAATCTCATTATCCCTCTCTCACTATGCACATTGATTTCCGAACGTTTGTTTTACATCCTTTTGGAAAAAAATCGATTTCTCTTTTGAAAATAATTGAAATTAATCAACAGTATCTATCGATAATTACGTATTAACTCATTTGAATTTTCCAAAGGGAAAAAAACTTAAAGTCGATATATGTTTTAATTTTAATTTTAATCAAAGCAATCTATATTAAAAACTAGCTGACCCGGCAGACTTCGTAGTGCCTCAATCGGTAAATAAAAGACCTAAACTTTTGTATAAAATAAACTTAAAACAAACAAAAGGAATCTGTCCGACGGGGGACACATCAAAGAAAAACAAAATTGTTATTTTTATTTAATTCCGAGCATTTTCATATTTATTTACCTTTTAAACCTTCTCTGGACTTCCACAAGTAATTCAAGACCAAAATTAGCTTTAGCGAGACTAACGAACAGCAATTCATTTTTATATATTATATAGAAGATAGAAGACGTTAAAAATTACTTGTCTGTTCGGGAAATTCTAGAATAATTTTCGAAATGACTGAGAAGTGTACATTATTCGTTCACTGTGCAATTAATTTTTAAATATTCTTTTATAAAAAACCGTTTTTTTTTATAAAATCCAACGACTCAAAAATACTACTTAAAGCAGACCTCCTAAAGAATACTAAAAGCCTACATAAACTATTTTAATCCATTAGTAAGAATCCAACTGTCAATGTTTTCTAGAATAAACTTTCAAACAAATTTAAAACATTCGATATATTATGAAAAACCTTTTAGCGCGTACACACTAAAATGATTTGGTAGCGCTCTTCAAAAACAAAATTGAAAGTGTCAAATTGAATTGCCGGGAATATTTAAATATGTTACGAAAGTCTCCGATCTCAAACTCAATTTTTCAAATAATAAATAATTATTAAAATTTCGTATTCCATTACGTTAACTTTAAAATTAGAAATAAAGACGCGTATAAATAAAACAAAAGTCAAACGAGGTGTTAGTATAAATATTAATAATCCAAAGTAAATAAATTTTATACTAATACATGAGTTCATTTTTCAACGATTATTATTCTCGTCATATTTTTACATTTGGATCACTATTGCATCCTGTCTAATGCCAAAAACGTGCAATAAGCACATACGTAGTGTTACTATGAATTTACTAAAGGTAAAAAATTCCTAAATCCTAAAAATACATTTTTCTATTCAATTCCATAGCAATAATATATAATAATTTGAATAATAATAGTCATTGATTTTTATTAATAAAATTAATAGTGATTTGATTTGAAACATAACAGCTCAGGCATTTCGAGAATTAAATATTAAAAAGAGAACGTCTGTATTCACGAACATATTATGTATCAAAATAATTAGCATGGTCAATATGACCCAACAACAGCAAACATTCAATATTTGTAATACGCATAATTAGACTCACCATAATGTAGAAAAACATCTCTACTTACATAAAACTTAAATACTTAGTACAAATATTAATTACAATTTCAAACTTAAGAAACCCTCACAAATTATATAGGTACATTTCAAAATTACATTGAAGAAGTAAATTGTACTCAGAGCAATGGTAATAATACATCAACTTTATAACCTCTATTTCCCACGGCAACCAGAATGTCATGATTTTAAAACCTAACCAACAAAGCTTAAAACAAATTCAATGAAATGTTGTTAAAACTCCAATGTTTCAAGATGGAAATCTGTATTCAAATTCTGATTTCCATGGGCTCTGATAACGACTGAACATAATGTGGATTGTGTGCGTCTAAATTAACTAATTAAAAAAATATGGCGAAAACCTATTTAACTAAATGAAAAAAAAATATGAAAAAAAATATTTCTATTAACAAAATATTAAAAAAACGAACGAAACACTACCTAACAGCAATCATAGGCAAAACTATAATAGCTACATCATTTTTTTGTGTCGGGAACTAAAAGTCTTGTAGCTAAAGTACTCCAGATCATCTAGGGAAATCAGCCTTATTGAAAAAAAAACAAAAAAATACGTTCCATATTCCAGCGCTTACAACAATGCCAATTGGTGGGTAAAAATACTGTAGCACACAAGATACGTCGTAATAACGTGAAAGTTAATGTCAGTGGGATTTTAATTAGAAATACAAAATTATGTGTGTGACTCTGAGAAGCTTCGCGTTTCGAATAAATTATTTACAATTAAATCGTTAGAATACAATTAGAATATAGTTTTGGTTAAAGGAAAAAACAAAAAACAAAAATTTACATCCCAGTATATGCGAAAACGAATCCCGTTACTTATGTAGCAACTAAGCACTCCCAAAAATCATTAATATCCACACACTCCGAATCAGACCGAGTAGATCAGAAGAGTCATTAGAACCTTACGTTTCATATAAAGCAATTTCACCTTTGACCTGTGACCTTATAGCCTCATGCACTTAGCGCAACGCAACGCAATAAATGTAAATCAACGCACGTTGTTGTCTTGAACCTTCGTCGAGTAAAATATCCTCTATGGTAAAATCTAAAATTCAACCACATCCCTAATACAGTCGTAAAGTCACAAATCCTGTGCCTGATGTTTAAATTAAAGGTTTCTTATTTAAATAATTGTAAATAGACATGCTTTAACAAAAACCGACTTCAAATAGAAAAAAAAAGATATTCCAAAACAAATTATTATACACTAAAAACAATAATTATCGAAATCGGTCGGCGTGTTATTGAATTATTCATCTATTTGTTGCGCACGTACTTCATGCAAATTTAAGACTTATGTGGTTTTCTCATGGATACCATTATCAGAAATAGACTAAATTGAAATGAGACCATACGGGATGCGTCAGCTTTCTAATAAAATAAGAATCATCAAAATCGATTCACCCAGTCAAAAGTTATGAGGTAACAAACATAAAAAAAACATACAGTCGAATTGAGAACCTCCTCCTTTTTGGAAGTCGGTTAAAAAGTAAATGAAGAATCCATATAACAAATGAATAAACTATATTATTTTGTTTTTATCACTCCAATCCTAAGCTCCGCATAAAATACCATTGAAATGTCGGCGGCTCATCAGTACCAGAACAAATAAACCAAGACAGACATAGGCAGGTAAAATTGACAAAGATAGAGATTGATACGTCAAGACAATTCTTCGTGAAACACTGCTAATAGCCATCTCGATTAACTAAACTATAGGTAATTCCAAAAAGACGTATGAATCTGTTACAAAACCAGTCGTTAAGAAATTACTATTAAATAGGGCTTAAGAATACGGGTAAGTTAGCAGTGACGTAAACCACTTTCAATCAGTGTGCTTAGTGCGAGTTTTTTAAAGTTCTCGATAACATAAAAGTTAACTCAAATTTGTATGCACCTAGACAAACGGTCAACTCCATACAAATTTGAGTTAACTTTTACGCTATCGAGAACGTTAAAAAACTCGCATTAAACACACAGATGGGCCTTTGGATCGTCTGATTTCATTGGTAACAACAAAACTAACTGCTAAAACATGGTTAAAGACGAATCCATCCACAGACTACAGACACGAACGCGCTCACAAGTACTCACATCCTCTTCTTCAATAATACACCCAAGCTTATAATTATTATTATGTCACAGTGAAATCACGGTCTAAATACAAGTAAAATTAACATAAACCGTTATATAAATTTAACGGATTCATATGAAAATAACACTTTCTAATTTAAAAAAAACAAAGACTCTATTAAAATAAGAATAAAAATTTTCTGATTTCATTTTTAATATTATTTAGTGTAGAAAATGCACATTCGTAAATTTTTCGAGGTAGGCTGAAAGACGACTAATGAATAAAACCTTTGCATCATTGAGAAATAAAAGTTGCATCTTATGTCATTAATGGAAATCGATTGGCTACGAAGTAGGTTAAATTCCAAAGATCGTTGTTTAAAATGCATCATCTAAAAAGGAATTGTAGATGTACTAGCGAGGGCCAGTGATATTTATAGTGTCTCAATCAAGAGGTTACAAGTTCAGCACTGGGCAAAAACCGCACCGTAACGTCTCAGTAATGGTGCGTTCAAAATATCTCGAATAAACGCCAAAATACCTAAAGTATCTTTCAAAAATCGATATCAAAAATCGACATCAAAAATCGATATCACACAATAATATGTAGTTCAACGCATTAATTTGTTCAAAGTCGATTACAATCGTTACATTCCGATCACGACTATCCGATTCTAATTCTAGTGTCGCTTCGATTTCGTAATCGACAGTAAGCTCTAAACGTGAAGTTTATGAGGAATCGCCATTCTGAATTTTTATATGAGACTAGCTGACCCGGCAGACTTCGTAGTGATTGAGGAATCGATAAATAAAATACCTAAACTTTTGTATAAAATAAACTTAAAACAAACAAAAGGAATCCCGCCGACGGAGGACACATCTAAGCAAAAACAAAATTGTTATTTTTATTTAATTCCGAGCATTTCATATTTATCTACCTTTTAAACCTTTCCTGGACTCCAAAAATAATTCAAGACCAAAATTAGACAAATCGGTCCAGCCGCTCTCGAGTTTTAGCGAGACTAATGAACAGCAATTCATTTATATATATATATGAAATTTCGTTTAAAAAAAAAAGCAAACAGCTGCATATTGTTGAATTAAGATTTTTACTGAGACTAAGATAATTATATCTTATCAAGGTTTTATTTTGGATACTTAAAATTAAAGAGTCGTCCAAGTCTGCGAAAACTGTAGAACATTCCAAACGTCAGAAGCAATATGATGACAATAAAAGCCGTAAAAGTAGTAGTATCTACGAATCGCGAAAACCGAACATAAGCATTTATCGAGCTTTAAGATATATTCATGTATGTACATGTAAACAGTCTCAGAACGCAATTATTAAATAAAAAGTTTTTATAAACGTTTTATTTTTATAAATTAGCAGCCGCTAATCAAAGGTTACTTAATACTAGTCAATAATTAGAAGAACTGAATAGTTCCTTAAAAAAAATCTAATAGTGTAGTCGTGGTTTAAAGGATAAGATGCCCGGTGCATTCGTATCGAGCGATGCAAATGGGCCGGTGTTCGAATCCCGCAGGCAGGTACCCATTTTTCTAATAAAATACGTATTTAACAAATGTTCAAGTTTGACTTCCACGGTCAAGGAATAGCATCGTGCAATAAAAATCAAAACCGCAAATTTATAATTTACGTAATGACTACGGTAGGACGTCTTGTAGGCCCGCAGGGATAGGTTTCACCGCCCTGACTATTTCTGCCGTGGTTAAGCAGATTCGGTCTGAAGGGTGGAGTAGCCGTTGTACTGTAAAAATTGAGACCTTAAAACTCAAGTATCAAGGTGGGTGGCGGCATTTATTTCATCCACCCATGTAAGCAATAAAAAAAAATTACATTCCAAACATCCAATTTCAAATCAGCTGTATAATGATGACAGTCGCTTTTTTTTATTCCTCATTGAATGCAAACGTATTTTCGGTCAAACAGCCACTTCAGAATAATCACATTACAAACAACATCGTGAAAGTTGAGGTTCGAAACGAGTCGACGTCTTTAACGATAAATGTTAATGATGCGAAGTGACCGCAGACTAGACGGTGAACGGTACCGCACTACGCAAACGAATAGCTCTCGATAACTTAATAATGAATTTGACTAATAACTATGTTTACCTAAATTTAAATCTGCCATTTGTAGATAGTTATACTACTACTTATACTACTGGTAGTAGGACCTCTTGTGAGTCCGCACGGGTAAGTACCACCGACCTGCCTATTTCTGCCGTGAAGCAGTAATGTGTTTCGGTTTGAAGGGTGGGGAAGCCGTTGTAACTATACTGAGACCTTAGAACTTATATCTCAAGATGAGTGGCGCATTTACGTTGTAGACGTCTATGGGCTCCAGCAACCACTTAACACCAAGTGAGCTGTGAGCTGGTCCACCCATCAAAGCAATAAAAAAAAAGTTTTAATAAAACTATATTTAAAATAAAATTAGCATAGAAAAACTTCCACAAGCCTTTGAGTATTAAATAATAATAATAAAACATGCTATTAAGATCAATCGCATTTCTACTAAACAGTTAATTGTGAATCATTAATTTTAAATCGTATAACATGAATAGTTTAAAAAGATATAGAAAAATCTGGAATCGTGACAACAAAGCTAACAAAGCAACAAGTTTCACGGCGCTCATAGAAATAATAACGATTTGAGATAAACAGTTCAAAGTTGAAAGTAATGGCGGAGCCGTGTCTTCCGCCCGCGTCCGGATGTGTCGTAACAGATGAAATCGAGGCACACTACTCGTGACTTAGTCGTACTATCAAGATCTGGAAACGCTTCCCGATCCCTCCGTAGTGTGTGTGTTAATATATTAGATCCTGCAATCTATAACTCGATACACAAGGGCTCTTGTAATCTATTTGACCGGGTATAGGACGGGCAAAGATCACGTTCCCACGGATACACGGCGCTAAAGAGCTTACATAACTCCACGAATCCCTTTAGACTTTCACTGGTGGATTAAATTTTTAATTGTGACATTTCTTATAATTATATGCTTTAGGTGTATTCGCTTAAGAGTCAAATTTTAGTATACGCACAATGAATGATTTTTTACACTTACATTTAAGTGGGATCTGTTCTTCTAGCATTTTAAAAAAATAATGACATCCTTTCAATATTTATTTTTTTATATAACCGTTACAACCCTTTGAAATTATGGTACGGAGTTACCGCAGTCCATAGATATCAGAGCGTTAATACCGCCCGACTATTTATTAAAAGATTGGGCATTCAATACCATTAGAACGGTTTTTCTACCCTCTTAGAAATCGAATGATTAATCGATACGACCCACAACACTTACGCGGCCATAATTAAAATCACATCAAAAGAAATAGACCAGTGTCGATAATTTTTAAAACCAAAAAAAATAATAGTAGGGTGAAACCCATTAGAAAAGGAAATTTATATAATAAAACTAGCTGACCCGGCAAACATTGTTTTGCCATATATAAGATTTCTAGGGAATTTCTAGTGTAGGAAAAAAACTAACTTATTGTAAGTGTGTAAGGATGTGGTACATGAGTGAAAGAGGTATGTAGTGCTGTGAACGATGAGGGAATATATAATAAAAATAGCAAAACCTCATTCAACCACGACTCATTATAACAAAAAAAAAGTCCAAATAAAAAAAAAAAAGTTAGGGGTGGACAACCCTAATCACTTAGGGGTATGAAAAATAGATAGTAGCCGATTCTCAGGCTTACTGAATATGCATAAAAAATTTCATGAGAATCGGTCAAGCGGTTTCGGAGGAGTATGGTAACGAACATTGTGACACGAGAATTTTAAATATTAGATATTATAAAATTATATTGTCCTCCTTTTCTAATGAGTTTCATCCTATTATTTTTTTTTTTCACTTTTTATTATTTTCAAAGGCTTCTTTCTACCCTGGTCTAAAATGAATACAAACTTCGAATTATTCCGTCTAAATATTATAAAGCACGCGATGCTGTGATGCCTTCGAATCAACAACAATTGTATTATGTAATATTTGTTCTTGCTTTCCATTCTCGTTTTATTTACATTTAAACATCAAATGAAATGTAAACGATGCAATCATTTGGGATTACGTTTTGTGAGGCTATTAACTTACTTTGACCATTTGAAATCCAACAATGTCAGTACAGTACAGTTGAGTAATAAGTTCAGACTAAAGTTAAGTGAATCGTAATTAGTACGAGACCTATTCCTCAATTATTATTATTTTGCTTAGATTGGTATACGGCCCACCTGATGGTAAGTGGTTACCGGAGCCCATAGACATCTACAACGTAAATGCCGCCACCCACCTTGAAACATGAGTTGTAAGGTCTCACTTTTAACAGTACAACGGCTGCCCCGCCCTTCGAACCGAAACGCGGTACTGCTTCACGGCAGATATAGGTCCTACCACCAGTAAAGTCCATACAGTGGTAATATAAAAGCATATTTTCGTGACTCTTAGTTAGTTTGGGTCTGGTGTTGGAAGCAAAGGCATCGTGGATTGAAATCATGTAGCACCTAGGAAATCTAAAAAACTTTGACCATCAACTGTAGTATAAATTTTAATAAAGAAAATAACCATAACCCTCTCCAATATAAATGAGAATATTGTCAATATAGTCGAAGTCATATGAGTATCCATTATAATAACTCCAAAAATCAGGCCAGAACTTTGGTAACATTTAAATTGGACCACATGAGAGGCACCAGCTTTCATACAAAAATCATGAAAATCGGTTCACCTCCTTTTTTAGAAGTCGGTTCTACGTTACGTTCTACGATAATTTCACACATGCCAAAAACAGTTATGAGAATACAATTTTAAGCCTTAATAACCAAATCATAAGGTAGACTGTTCCTTGACCAGAGTAGCAAACGTCAAAAGTCGATATTAGCTTTCAATAAATCTCTAGAAATGAAAGTGAAATTTGTTTATCTATCTATCTCTTAGGTTTATTTTATTAGCGTTAACAGATGACATGACATGGCTTTGTGACAATTACATCCGATGATTTTACCTTCTATTCAATTTTAGATTTTATCTATGAGATTCACGATATTCATTATATTAATAGTTCCATATTCATATTCATATTCATATTGATCGTATTCATCAATGAATACATTATATTGATAGTTGCGTCTGTCAGTCTTTTGAAAAGCTGTTGATTGCTCTTTTATAAGTTTCTAATAATTTAGAGGTTATGATATCTAAGCATTTGACCTACGATTTAGATTATCAAAACACTTTTTAGTTCAAACAGTTTTCTAATAGCGAAATTTTCCAACAGTGCATAGCCCTTGCGCTGGTCTCCTGCGCCTACGCTGAAGCTCCCGGTGGCTACAACTACAACCGTCCCTCCGGTGGTGGAGGCTTCAGCGGTGGATTCAGCGGCGGCCTCAGCGGCGGCGGTAGCTACCAAGCCGTTTCCTCGGGCTACCAGACCTCAGAAGGCCAGAACGTCGACCCTCAACTCCTCGAACAAATCCGTCAGATCCTCCTTAAAGAAGAAGCCTCATCCTCATCTCACGGTGGCAGCGCTCCTTCCTCATCTTACGGAGCACCTTCATCATCCTATGGCGTACCCTCAACTAGCTACGGTGTCCCGTCTGCCCGTGTTGTAGGACTCCAGCTTGAAGGTGTCCGTCAGGCCATCCAGGTCGCTCAATACGAACAAAGCGGCCACGGATCTGGTGGTTCCGGTGGATACCCCGGCCGCGTCCCCTCCGGTAGCTACGGCGCTCCTTACTAAGACGGAATTCAAGCCCGGACCGATATTTGATATTCAATTTGAAGCAAGAAATCAGCTATGANCCCGTCTGCCCGTGTTGTAGGACTCCAGCTTGAAGGTGTCCGTCAGGCCATCCAGGTCGCTCAATACGAACAAAGCGGCCACGGATCTGGTGGTTCCGGTGGATACCCCGGCCGCGTCCCCTCCGGTAGCTACGGCGCTCCTTACTAAGACGGAATTCAAGCCCGGACCGATATTTGATATTCAATTTGAAGCAAGAAACCAACTATGATAAACATGAAAAAAAAACCACTTCGATTAAGGACGTTGATTGTCAAATGCCAAGTCACCACGAATGGTTCGGGCATCCGATTATTCGGTTGAATTCGCAACATTCTCGAGGACAGCCGAATGTTTTAACCAATGGGCCGGCAGCCACGTACAATGTAGGTGATGCCGGCGGCCGCTGCTTGTCAACTCTTCGGCCAACGCTTGCGACTGTGCACGCACTCGGGTGGGAACGTCGCGGTGGCTAGCCAGTCGCTTGTATTTGACAAGTGTCAAAGCTGTCAACCTGACAGTTTGAGCACTTGTCAAAACAGAAACGAAAGGCGAAGTGGCTCGCCACCGGGCGTTACTCATGTCTTGTAAAAAGTATACATTAAGTATAGAATAATTTTTGTATTATATTATGTTTTTTAATGTTATTATTTACAAAAAAATAAATACATTTTGACACCGTTACAACTTTATTTTATTTACGTGCCTTTTTGAATAGCTACGTTCTGCTTTTGTATTATCAATAGCTCTTCGCTTAGAAAGTCAAGTACCGTATATAGCATGTTGTTAACAAAAACAATAATAGCGGTTTGTCTGCTCGTGCGCTTCTGTCAAACAAAAGCCTTTTCAATAACTACTTAGCCAAATACATTCTGTACAATTCAACCATGAAAATTCATTAAAACAAAATTGAATGAATACAAAATGGAGGTACATTTATGTTCTCGGTTAATATAAAAGATATCGGATTATTTGTTGTTTGTTATTTGTATGTTGGTTTCGTTGTTGAGGGAATCACTATAGAGCAAACTATGAACCTTACAAAAAAAACGATGATTCAAGCCTTTGAATTTGTTTTACCGTTAATTTTGATAATACGAACAAAATATTGGTTAATAAATTAATACTCAAAAGTTTAATTTAATAAAATTTTGTAAAAAGAAAAAGTTGATTAATAATATTATGAAGATTGGTGAATTAAAACATTTCTGGTGAAAAACTTTTTTATTTTGGTACTAGTGGTAGGACCTCTGGTGAATCCGCACGGGTAGGTACCACCACCGTGCATATGCCGTGAAGCAGTAATGCGTTTCGGTTTGAAAGATGGGGCAGCCATTGTAACTACACTTGAGACGTTAGAATTTATATCTCAAGGTGGGTGGCGCATTTACATCATAGATGTCTATGGGCTCCAGTAACCACTTAACACCAAGTGGGCTGTGAGCTCGTCCACAAACCTAAGCAATAAATAAATAAATAAAATAGTTCTGTGAGATGGATGTGTGCGAAAGCTTGAACTCTTCATTTTATGAATGCAGGATTACTGGTGGCCCGGACGCCATTCCAGTTTCAAAAGGACAGGTGGTCGCGCATTGTAGGCAGCGGCTTGGCTCTGCCCCTGGCATTGCTGAAGTCCATGGGCGACGGTAACCACTCACCATCAGGTGGGCCGTATGCCCGTCTGCCTACAAAGGCAATAAAAAAATCTCAGCCAGAAGGGCTTGAACCTGCGCTTCGTTTTATTCGTAGCGTGCCGGATATCTGTATTACGAAAGAATCCAGTGCATCTTTGTGTGAGCGTAGCCTCCATTGTTTGCTTGCTAATTGCATGCGCTTGTCTTGCACCATTTATGACATTGTTTCGTTCGCTCATGCTTTTGAAAGTGGGTAAATTGTTGTTACCAAATTTGACACTCCGTTTTTGTTTTGAATGAAGATGAAAGATTGCGCGCTTTTGAATTAAGTTTGGTTGTTCTTAATCTGTTCGTTTTGCAAGAGTTTAATATAATAGGTTCTCGTATGATTCTGGTTCATGAGGTTCTCAGTGGGTTGTGATTCCGATCCGGTGGTTGATTTTCCGAAGCACTGCTCTTGCTAGGGCTAGTGTTAGCAAATCCTTTCAGGTTGAGCTCGTGAGCTCTCCTACCCGTCCGGGCGTAGCTGGTATAGCTAGCTCCCTAAGCTACCAGCGAATAGGTAAAAAATTAAAAAAAAGATGTTGGGGTCTCTATATTAATTAAAAAATATCTGATAAGCTTACGCCCTATAGAGTGCTTTCATTGAACGGTTAACAGTCTGTTATCACTGGAGCAGTCGGTCACCGAGAACTTATATCTAACTATACTGAGACAGTAACTATACTGAGACCTCAGAACTTATATCTCAAGGTGGGTGGCGCATTTACGCTGTAGATGTCTATGGGCTCCAGTAACCACTTAACACCAGGTGGGCTGTGAGCTCGTTCACACATCTAGGCAATAAAAAAAACACAAGAACGGCGAAGCCTTTTGTATTCTAAATTCAAGTAGCAACCGTTGTTTTTGAAGTATTCGTAGCCTAAAAGATAAAACGCCTGGTGCGTTCGTATCGAGCGATGCGGTTGTGCCGTTGTGCCGTTTGAATCTCACAGGTAAGTACCAATTATCTTATCAAAATCGTATGTAGCTCACGTTCACAAATGACTTTTGACTTTTGAAAGTCGTCGTGGCCTAAAAGATAAGACGTCCGGTGCATTCGTGTTGAAGCGATGCACCGGTGTTCGAATCCCGCAGGCGGGTACCAATTTTTCTAATGAAATACGTACTGCATAAATGTTCACGATTGACTTCCACGGTGAAGGAATAACATCGTGTAATAAAAAGTGAAACCCGCAAAATTATAATTTGCGTAATTACTGGTGGTAGGACCTGTTGTGAGTCCGCGCGGGTAGGTACCACCGCCCTACCTATTTCTGCCGTGAAGCAGTAATGCGTTTCGGTTCGAAGGGTGGGGCAGCCGTTGTCACTATACTGAGACCTTAGAACATATATCTCAAGGTGGGTGGCGCATTTACGTTGTAGATGTCTATGGGCTCCAGTAACCACTTAACACCAGGTGGGCTGTGAGCTCGTCCACCCATCTAAGCAATAAAAAATAAATAAAAAATCTTAATTGACAAATTTTGCTTGATTACTAGTGGTAGGGCGTCCTGTGAGTCCGCACGGGTAGGTATCCTGCCTATGCCGTGAAGCAGTAATGCATTCCAATTTAAAAGACGGCGTAGCCGTGGTATTTTTTATTTTATTGACGTTGTTGATGCTGTGGGCTCCGATTACCACTCCAGGCCAGGTGGCAGAAAGCCAACAAGTCACACAAAAAAAAAAACTAACTCTTCATTGTTGTTTTTTTTTAATTATTAGGTATCGTTTACATTGTCATTGTGTATCAGGTTCTCAAGTACATCATTATGAGCCACTGAAACCGAAAATAAAACCGAGTTTTATTTTTTGCGATATATGTAGTTATAGTACTTACTGATTTAGTACCTATTCATAAATAAAATAATAAAATCTGTTATGCACAAAAATATATTTATTTTCATAATAATTTCAATTATTAGGATCGATTTACCAAAAAAAAATTAATCACATTTCTCTAATACAGACGATAACACGAGAATTTAATAATAATAAAACTGAAAATTTTCAAAATAACATTGACATTTTCGAGTCGACAAGTTTCGAAGGAAATTTAATATTAAATAGTTAACATATTGTACAGAGTGTATTGTTTTGACAGCGTAGATAAGTAATTCTTTTAAAAAATAAATATTTACATTTAAAAAATAGATATGAAGAATACGTTCCGCACAGTATACTTAATAACTAGGCTCTAAGATTTATTTCATACTAGCTGACCCGGCAGACTTCGTAGTGCCTCAATCGATAAATAAAAGACTGATCAAGGGACACATCTAAGGAAAAACAAAATTGTTTGTTTTTATACAATTCCAAGTATTTTCATATTTTTTTCACATTTTAAACCTTCTCTGGACTTCCACAAATGATTCAAGACCAAAATTAGCCAAATCGGTCCAGCCGTTCACGAGTTTTAGTGAGACTAACGAACAGCAATTCATTTTTATATACCTATACCAGCTGACCCGGCAAACGTTGTTATGCCGTATATAAGATTTCTAGGGAATTTCTAGTGTAGAAAAAAAAGTAACTTATTGTTAGTGTTGCTTTGTGAATAAGAGTGGACTGTATTATTAGTATGATTTTATTTATCTATAAGTGACAAAATAAAGAATTTAAAATTAATGACTATAAGAAATAAACAGATGTGTCGCCCATGACGGCTGGAAATGGAAAGGGGTAAGGCGTCATAGCGGACGTCGCTCGTTGACACCTTTGACATTCCGAATTCAAACATACTCCCCGGTTGAAGTGTCTTCAATAATTGATGGGAAGTGGGCAGATAGTGTTGAAAGCGCGGCGTATGACACCTCGTCGTGTGTAGATGTCTGCAACTCTTCCAATATCGTCGCTACCACTGTACAGCTGAAGTATGCGTCCAAGTGGCCACAGTAGCGGAGATGATGATGGTTCCTTTACGATGACTAGATCACCCACTTTCAAAGGCTCTGCAGATGTTTTACACCATTTAGATTTTTGTTGCAACCAAGAGATGTATTCTTGAGAGAATCTNCTCGTTTTTTAATTAGACTTTTCATGTCTGCCATTTTTTATGTAAGCCAATAAGATTATGTGGACAAGAAATGAAAATTATAAGATGACAGATGACAAATTTAAAAAAATTGAATCGAAATAGAATTTCAAATGTTATAAAATATAATGATGTCAAATTTTATCAAAATGCAATATGTTTGTATTAATGCTGTAGTTTTTAAATCGTTTTTCTTTATTTATTTTTTAGAGATGAATATAAAAATTGACTGTAGTTATAAATGTATGACGAAATAGCAACGTGTTCAAAACGTTCGAATAAATTATGCACTTTTTTGATAAAAACACATTAATATGAAGTAATAATTGCAATAGAATGAAAATTTTCAAGATTTATATTAGAATTAAAAAAAAATATGAAGGGAATGTATGAGATGATTGGAACGGACTCACAGTGGGTGGTGCAATCTGCTTGAATGTATCATCAGAATTGGTTCCTGTGATGTCCAAGGCTTCCAAATTGTATTGAATGTTGAACTTGCTTGTTGACGATATCTTCAGCAATCTTTGTTGAATAGCTAAATTTTGTCCAGCCGATGAAGCGCCGACGATTTTAAGATGGCGGTTAAGCGTCGGTTTTCAAATTGTATTTTCCGCAGGTCGTCGATCCGATTGTTTCACGGGAGAAGGACCATATGTTGCTTTGTGAATAAGAGTGGACTGTATTATTAGTATGATTTTATTTATCTATAAGTGACAAAATAAAGAATTTAAAATTAATGACTATAAGAAATAAACAGATGTGTCGCCCATGACGGCTGGAAATGGAAAGGGGTAAGGCGTCATAGCGGACGTCGCTCGTTGACACCTTTGACATTCCGAATTCAAACAGTTAGTGTGTAAGGATGTGGTAAATGAGTGAAAGAGGCATGTAGCGCTGTGAACGATTAGGGTGTTGCTTCACCTCGACACATACAACACTTCAATTGAACCGTTATATTGGCGGTAACATGTACATCAACTGTGAACTGCGACAAACTTTAACTTATACTAGAGGTCCCGCAGTAGTCGAAATTCGACTATAATTAATTGGAATTGTAAGTTTGTACACTAATAAGATTGTATTTTATACTTCTATACTCACAAATTTCGCCAAGACTACTCTATAAAAATATTAACACAGACAAACAATATTTAATCTATTCTCAATTTGACAACAGACGTCAAGAACAAAAGTTTGACAATAAATAGTATGCATGCGTGTGCGCGTCGAATACATGGTATGTAGTGTATGTAATGTTTTCTTTTATGCATTATTTAAAAAAAATATTAGCATTGTGCACTTCTTCTCTATATTCTCTATAAGTGTGGAAAATTTCATACTCCTGCGTCCGTGCAATTTTCGTAAAAAGGGATACAAAGTTTTTGCTTCACATATTAATATATAAATAGGCAGTTCTATAATTCTGCCAATTCTGTAAATATTTATGCAATTCAACCTCCGAAACTGGTCGACGTAAATGAATAAAAATGCTTCTTCACTACTTAATACTAAACGATTGGCACTTAGTGAGCACTTTCGCAATAAATGTTTTGTAATTGTTTTATCTTATTATACTTTAATCTGCATATTTTAATTTGTAATTTAATTAAAATACCTTAAGTAAGTATAAGTAATATCGCCTTAAGTTTTATTTTTTATTTTTAATTTTCTTTCCTTCAGAATTCACAACCAGAATGTGAGTTGTTGAAAATAATTTTAAGGCATATTCGATATGCATATGTGTTTAATTTATGTTTACAATTAAAAAAAAAACAATTAATTTATTTACTTACACTACAAACAAAATTGTAACAAAACAATGTTTTATCAACACAATCGTTTTACTACAACTTTTTCATTAATTTTGCACTTGTTATAAAATACCTATACACGTTTTAATGCAATTAACATTTGGAATAAATTAAAAATCAAATTCAAAAGACAAGTGCAAAACCTATTTTCGATAAATCTACATAAAATTAAGAAAATTTGTTTTCACTAATTAGGAACAAAATAACAATGTACAGAAAATGTAAAATTATTCTATCTATATTTATAAATGCTTTTACTTGAACGTAGTTCGATTTATAACTTCATTGTAAATTGAACTCGCATTCAAATACGATAAAATCTATATTCGACTGACAATATCGACGAATTGCAGCTTTTAAAGAAAATTATTAAATTATTATGTGTAGAAGAGATCAAAAGAACGATGCACCAGAGACAGACATTTAAAACCGTATCTATCATAACGCAAATTTGATTTTCGATTGTGCACTATCAGAAACCTTACATCAATTGCTAACGCGACCGAGAAAGGAATAATGAACTTATTGGATAGAACATCACAATTAGACGGATATGAAAATAGATGATGCGAATGACCGTTCCCGGATCAGGAATGACTGGAAGCCTTAACAGAACATACTTGGCTTGACTTGAAATCATACTTGACGTTTTAGTAGCTTCGTATTACAGGATCTCGCGCTACCTTCAGAGATCAGTGTGCATAGTGAGAGTTTTTTAACGTGCTCGATAGCGTAGGAGTTAGCTCATATAATCTGTATGGAATGGGATCGTTTGCGTACGTTTGCCGCTAGGGGGCGCTGTTCCAACTGCATACAAAATTGGGTTAACTTTTACGCTATCGAGAACGTTAAAAAACTCGCACTAAGCACACTAAGCGCAAATTCTTGTCTGTTCATTTTCAACGCAGTGTGACGTAAAAATTTATGAAACATTAATTTTGGAACATGATTTTTAGTTACATCTTCGCTTTCTGTTAGATTTCATTAAAATATTCCCTGTAAAAGACCTATATTATGCAAAAATGTAGCACTCTCTCCCGCTACTGTTATTCATCACAGCGACGACTAATACATGGGAGTCAGAAAGCCTGAGAGGAAAAGTAGTTTCCGTATCGAGAACTCGATACATTTACATTACGAATTCGATAGATTTTCGGGCTTGACCTATAGTTTTTCTCTCTTAATGAGGTCGCATAGCATTGTCTATAAATTGTTTAAGTGGAACTTTTCCGGGCAGAGCGTTCATGGCCGTATTCCAAACGATTAGTCAGTACTCTTACATGAGAATTACAAAAATCAAATCTCCAATTTTTATATCAAACTAAATCACATCATATCTGACGAGCTGGAAAGATACTTTGTTTATTGACTTCGTCGACTACGATCGAATGCCATAAGAATATCAACAGTGTTCATTATCAACAGGCATAGTTTCGGCCTTCAATATTTCCTAAGCATTTATATAAATCGCCTTGCTAATTTGAAATAGCTTTAAATTTATGTTTCTATACAAAAGCATATAAAAAGATAATTACGAACCCGTCAGTTATATATACAGCTTAACTGTAAACAACTGTTCATATTTACATGTGAAGTATATTTTACACAACAAGCGGAGCAGACAATATCCGTGACCAACCAGCTGGGGATGTATTGGAAAATTCGCGTCTTGTCGAATTCAAACAGCCTAATGAACAAACTTGAACGTTTGACCGGACTGTTTTTATATTGACGCCTTCACGAAACATCGAAGAACACATGATTCGTTGTAAGCTAGGGCTGCGGAGGCGCCGGGCGGAGGCGTGTCAACATCACAGAGGGCAAAGCGCCCGTTGGAGGACAAAATATAATTTTTTGTTTCCTTTAAATTAATTCTTATACAACACAATTGAAACTTCAAAATAAACAGTAACGAGACGTTCATTAATAAGGCCATAAAAGTTATATTTGTGTGTTTCAAAGCGAGTTAAAATTTCAGAAAGAACATCTTGAAACATTTTAAAATACTCCATTAAAAATTGATTTTATTAATTCAGAAAGTCGCACCGATCTCGCACTGAAAGGAGTTCGAGTAGACGTATCCGCTGGAAATCAAAAGATAAATAAATAGAAGTGATAAAAAATTTGAAATTGGTTTTACTAGATAAAGCATTTTGTTTCACGAATTTGTCATAAGAATTAGGATATTTTACAGTAACTCTAACAGCACTATACTTAAAGATAGTTATATAAAGGTCCAGAATTCTTGACGAAATAATAGTTGTAACTTTGATGTATTTAGAAATCCAATTATCAAAAAGGCAACGTGAAAGTTTTCTTTTTTTGTTTTGAGTTTTGAATGGCATACCTGTCTAACTAGCTTACGTATGATGTGGTATCCGATTTGGTAGAAAACTAGGATCCCATTTATATAGCACACAAAGAGTCCCTCAAAACGATTCTAAATACCTAACTTTGACTGCACCTAACCTAAGCGACCCTGTACTACCTGGCACCTTTCTCGTTCTTTTCCTTAGGTTTCTCTTCCACCACTTCCGCTTCCGCTTCAGGTTTATCTTGTGGCGGCCACAGGACATCAGGGTGGTTTAGCATATAATACGCCATGTGCTTCTCACTGCCGTAAGTCGATGCCTTCGTTCCCAGACACATCTTGAACTGGCTCTTCTCTAAATTTTTATCACAGTCAACCGAATGGAATATATGGACTAGAGTCTCGTCAGCTATCCTGTATACCGTTAAATTTGATTTAATTAGCGTTTCGAAAAGCTGCACGTCTTCTAGACCCCAACCCTTAATGTTCAAATCGAATCCCCCTATCCGTTCGAAGTCACGTTTATAAATAGCTAAAATACCAAAACCGTACTGCCTGAAATAGCCCGTATCATCAGTTATTTCCCGGCTGTACTTCAAGTTCGCCAATTCTCTGTCCGTTCTCACTGTTTCTTCGTCATCAATAAACTTCTCTAATTCAGTGTCCACAAACAGAGTTTCGCCTTTAACTTTATTATAATCATCACCGTTCACTACATCTGGATTGTACTCACTAAACACTATTGGGAAATAAACTTGGTTATATTTTATTGTGTTGATTCTAATTCTACGAAGGCTCTCGTGGTTGAACATCATGTCCACGTCAATGAAGAAGACAAGGTCGTCGCTATCGCAGAGCTTGAGTCCCTCGGTCAAGGCGGCTCCCCGTGAAAACATATTCGACCCCATTTTAACTATTTGGATGTCTTTCCCGTACATCTCGATATAATAATTTATTAGTAACTCTGTGTTTCTATAATCTAGTGGATGTTTGCTATCTAAATAAGCTACGACAATTAGAGAGGCAGCTTGACTGCTTTTTAAAACTATATCTTCGTAGTTCTTCATGAATCTACCGAATGTCTCTTGTCTACCAGATAGGGGCAGAACGAAGTGTATTTTTCTGTCATATACCGGGTACTCTTCAGAATCATCACTATTCCACTTCAACACCTTGGGTAAGTTGTTCTGGATCTTCTGAAGACCAGTTTCGAGAGCTTCCTTGACTTTTAATTTACCGAAGTCCAAAAAGCTGCTCTGTTGAGCACTGGACTCGTCAAAGTCCTCGTAGTCGTTCGGATATAATCCATTCTCAGTCTTTTCTAGTATGGCTGGATCTTCAAATGGAGGCGGATCTCCCATTGGTAACTCTCTTATCTCCATACCTGAAAAAATTGTTTTATTTTTATTTAAAATTTCTATTAATAATGTTTATTAGGTTTTTATAAATAAGGTTTTTTTTTATTGCTTAGTTCCACGACACCACACATCTTTTTTTTAAATCACAAAATCCTTACCTGTAAATGACTGCTGCAAATAAGCATGTCGTCTAACTGCCGCTGTCATTTTCCTTCCTCTGTATCTCCTGTACTTCAACAGCAGATCCAAGATGTGATCGGCCCCGTGCACCGGCTGGAGCCTGGTGTATCCGTACAGAAGCTCGTTGAAGTCAATCACACGTCCTCGTTGACGAGACGGTGCATTAATAATCTCCATAACCTGGAAAAATCAAATACACAACAATTAGTTTTTATTTATTTATTCCTTAGATGGGTGGACGAGCTCACAGCCCACCTGGTGTTAAGTGGTTACTGGAGCCCATAGACATCCACAACGTAAATGCGCCACCCATCTTGAGATATAAGTTCTAAAATCTCAAGTATAGTTACAACGGCTCCCCCACCCTTCAAACCGAAACGCATTACTGCTTTCACGGCAGAAATAGGCAGGGTGGTGGTGTGGTACCCAACCGCGCGGACTCACAAAAGGTCCTACCACCAGTAATTACGCAAATTATAATTTTGCGGGTTTAATTTTTATTACACGATGTTATTCCTTCACCGTGGAAGTCAATCGTGAACATTTTTTGAGTACGTAATTCATTAGAAAAATTGGTACCCGCCTGAGATCCGAACCCCGGTGCATCGCTCAACACGAATGCGCCGGACGTCTTATTCTTAAGCCCACGACGACTTCTAGTTTTGGATCAAATTAGGAATTTATTTGTACCCTGATTGCATGGCAATTTTTTTTCAAACCCAAACTGAATGGTAATTGTTTACTTAGTATTTGCCTGTTAGTCAATAAGACTAACCGGTAAATGTATATAAGACATATTCAGGGGGCACAGCGACTTGTAAAAATAGTCAATATCAATTTGCATTGGTCCACCTTCATCTATCCTGGTCTACTATTCACAGCTATATGCTGTCATAAATAACTAGATATCGAAAAAAATTCGCTGACTCTGTGTTTCTTAAATCTGAATATATTTATGTATATATAAATCCAATGTATCGATTGCACTACAATTTGAATTCACGAATAAAACATAAAAACAAAGCTATTCTAGTTGGTTATTAAAAATCAAAAAGGCCAAAAGTCAAAATAATAACGATAGCACGACAATAGCATTGTACTTTAATTAACCTATACCTTATGTGATAAGAAATAAACTATCTAAAACACAAGAGCGTTGTCGCGTTGTACCAATTATCTTAAACCTTATAATTTTAAGTCCGAAATTCATTGAGGACTTTTTGGTGACATTTTCTATCAAGACCTTATTTTGGAACAAACATTCTTTATTAAAACACTCTTAACACGTTTCAAGGAGAGTAACAATGAAGGGATGTAACATCGGATGGGAATAACTTTATCGGTCATCTTGCTGAGAAAAAAAACCAGGAACATTAGTAAGGGCCTGGCTATCTTAATTACTGAACGGCAAGTAGGGTACAGTCCGTCAATCCAATCCTACAGGATGCTTCTTATTCCTGATTTCTATTCATCCCCAAACACCGCTTACTTAAATACCGTAACAGAGCTGGGAGATAAGATCCCCTAAGGAGCTTAGCCAACCAATAATATCTGTTATTATCCAGGTTAGTTAGCACAAACAATATTATTCATCCTTCAGTCTAATTCAACTAAAGTCATGCATGAATTTGCAGAGTGGTACTCTAGTGCTTTTTTTTATTTATTTTTATTTTTTTATGATTAAAACATTACTGGTGGCCCGGAGGTCGTTCCAGTTTCACCAGGACAAGTGGGCGAGCAAATGCTCAGCCAGGAGGGGTGGGATTTGCTAACAACTGCCCGAGCGCCTCCGAAGGAGACCTAACAACTCAAGAGCAATTGCTTCGCGAATGAATCTACTACCGGATCGGAATCGCGACCCCCTGAGAAGATCCGGCGAGAAACCCAGAGAGTCTAAAACCTATGAAGGTCTCAGCCAGATGTATTCGATATTGATATTTCGAGCGACTTGTAAAAATTAACATTTACATGGCCTATGTTAGTTTTACTTAGATACTCTAAGTGAGTTTTAGTTCCAATACCTATGCATGTCTCTATTCCTAACTAATTTTGGTTTAACATTAATAACTCAGCGCAATGTCTTCATTTGAAAACCGAAAAATTATTCAAAAGTGACTTCCTCAACAGTCTGATTTGGATCATGAAGCATTTTAGCGAGTCTGTTGATTTTGTATCGACAATCTTCATGACACGCAACATCAGTTTGGCCTGATTTGTCTGTATTATTAAATTTAATTTTTTTCTGTTAAAGTACGAAAATTCACAACATTTTTAAGCTATTGCATAGCTTTTATCGCGGGCCTTGAGCGCGGCGACCGAATCATGAAATTCCGTAACGAAAAAAACCTAACACCCCTCACTCCGCCTACCATGTAGTTCGCGTTCAACACATTCACACGTTGCGCTTGTGTAATGTTTTGAATAAGCGCCTGGCGTGACGTCACACTGCATGTGCATCATGAAAAGTCTGCCCATCTCTCTCTCGCGCGGTCTAGCTTATGAGTGTGAAGGGGACAGTTAATGTTTTGCTTTTATTAATGTTTAATATAGCGTGGTCTTGTTTTATTATTATTTTAATATTAAATTATCATTGTCTAATTATAATTGCATAAGTTGATAAAAAATGCTATGCAATAGCTTTACCACGGCAGTTCCCGAGTGCCACACGTTTTTATTTTTTTATAATTTTATCTTATTGAAAGTAATATGACGACCAGAATCGTAAAGTGATTCAGAAATAAATTGTTCTATAGATAACTTGCACACAAGCAAAAGGTCACAAAGTTCAATACCAAACGACTAAAATTAGCTGTTATAAACATAATCAGTACGACAATGTTTCTTTTAAAATAAAATAAAAATACTTGGTATTACAAAGACAATCTCACGGCGCACATGTTAGTGGTTAACAGAATCTACAGAGGTAGTAGTCTATATTGTATTCCAAACAGACTCTGCTGTCTATCAAACCGCAATGCATCATTTCTTTACGGCAGAAAGATACTTTAAACTGCATATACAATACTAGCGACCCGCCCTCGCGTCGCTTCGGAAACTGTAATTTTTTATTGATTTCTCCACTATTTAATGGATGTTATTATACATACTAATATGAAAGAGGAAAGATTTGTTTGTTTGTTTGTATTGAATAGGCTCTGAAACTACTGACCTGATTTAAAAAATTCTTTCAGTGTTGGAAAGCTACGCTATCCCCGGGTGACATAGGCTATATTTATTATATTTTCAAAAAAATTAGGGATCATTACTGAAACTCCAATAATGTAACCCAATGTGTAAAAAAATTACCTAAAATTCTTTACATCGCGTCGCTATTTCCCAAGCGAAGCCGGGGCGGGCCGCTAGTTATACATATAAACGTTCCTTTTCAATCACTCTATCTATTAAAAAAAACCGCATCAAAATCCGTTGCGTAGTTTTAAAGATTTAAGCATACATAGGGACAGACAGATATAGGGACAGAGAAAGCGACTTTGTTTTATACTATGTAGTGATACTGTGAGCTACCACCAATTAGTATAATGAATGGGTGATTTCTGCTTGCTGGTGTAATCTAAGTTTGATTGCTCAGATAGTGCCGCTGCCTATTCTCCGGTAATATCTTTTTCGTCGTTTACAATACTCACCAGAAGAAAACAAGTAGATTCTTGAGCATCACAACACATAGCAATTTATTTTTTATTCGCTTCACAATATTATGAATATAGAAACTACTGCTCGGACGGCAGATGTTCAATAAGAGCGTACCGTACACATTATTTTAATCATATACTCTACCTCCTAGCGCAATAAGTGCAACTAGTGGTCCCGCAGTAGTCGAAATTCGACTATAATTAATTGAAATTATAAGTTTGTACACTATTATGATTCTATTTTCAAGGACTATTATACTTCTATAATCACAAATTTCGCCAAGACTACACTATAGAAAAATATTATTAAAGACAAACAATATTTAATTCATTCTCAATTTGACCACAGACGTCAAGAACAAAAGTTTGCAATAAATAAATAAATAAATAGAATGCATGCGTGTGTGCGTCAAATACATGGTAACGATGGTAGTGTGTGTAATGTTTTTCTAATTGATTTAATGTATTTTTAGGCATAATTTAAAAAAAAATTAACATTCTGCACTCCTTCTCTATATTCTTTATAAGTGTGGGAAATTTCATACTCCTCCGTCCGCGCAATTTTCGTAAAAAGGGATACAAAGTTTTTCCCTCACGTATTAATATATAGATAATACATTATTCACTACTCACTTCTCTGATAACATCATCCATAGCTTCTTTCAGGGGTAGCTCCACTCGTCTTTTCGGGTTTGAGTGGTAGGCGGAGTACAGGCTCTTGCTGATGAAGTCAAATATGACGATATCGTCTAGATTGGAGGGCTTGTACCGATTCATGTCTATTGGGGCACCTGGAATGACCGGATGTTGTTGTTACTACTACGGACGAACATCTTAGGTATATATTTGGATTCCTTAAGAATGCTGGGTGTAATGCAGAGAATAGCGCTTCCGACTCATGATGCAGCTTAAAAGTTCATGTAGGCCTCTTCCTGGTCTTCGCTGCTATGCTATATGATGCTATATGATACTGACCCGTACAGAAGCTAGTGTGTTTAGTGCGAGTTTTTTAACGTTCTCGACAGCGTAAAAGTTAGCTCATATTTGTATGGAATGGGATCGTTTGCGTACGTTTGCCGCTAGGGGCGCTGTTCCAACTGCATACAAAATTGGGTTAACTTTTACGCTATCGAGAACGTTCAGAAACTCGCACTAAGCACACAGTTCGTTAGAAACCTAATAATATTGTTTTCGAAAATTCCATCGTCCATATTTATACATTAGTCTTATGTTTAAAAAATGTTTTGTAACTTATAATACCTAATATTTTATTATCCCCCAAGTATCCTGGCTCCCCAATCTTGGCCGGGAACAGCGGGACGTCTCCGGGTAAGACAAAGTCATCGACCTCGTCCCGGGGAATAGAAAGCTCCCGAAGCGCCGAGGAGATGTCCCGGTGGAGATCCAGAGAACGCTCACGAAGCTCTTGGATACGAAAGTTCTGGAAAAGTAATCAATTTGTTATGATTATTGATTGATGAAAAGATTGACTTTTACATATTTTTTTTGGCATTTCAACAACATTCTAAGGCGATTTATGGAGCGTTTTGTGAATTGTTTCAACTCTGTAGTCTTTAAATAAAATCGCAAAAACAAACTAGCGGACAGATGCAATTCTAACAAGGTATTAACGATTAGAAACCACACTAAAAACTGTACAATTATTATAATTATCTATGTATATCTATTTGTTCATCAAGTAATATCTAATATAGTTAATATCTCTAACCATAAAAGGCTGGCGTAAATTCATAGTTTTTAAACCGAAAATTGATATTGGATTACAAATGTAATCGCTATTACATTTTGTCGTGTACAAATCTGCACTTGAACTCTTATCATACATTCAAATATAATATAAATAAGCGATGATAAGCAATGGGTCCTAATCGGTATAAATAAATGTTAAAATAAGGTTTTTTCTGCAAGCCGTTTGCGACGAGCTTAGACCACTGATACTGATTGATGCTTCATAAACTTAAAATCAATGATTGGAAGCACCAGGTTGTTAATAATAATGATTACTTACTCCAAAAACAATTTTAACTATTGCCGATCTAAGCCGAATTTTCATAGACATAAATTCTACTTGAGACCGTGGTTCCGTTAACGGTGCTTTTAGGTACCACAAGCACCGGTCACCGTCCTCGTCGAACCCGTCGCTTGCGACGAAGGGCTCGACGAGCGAATTAACCCATAGACACAACCCACTGAGTTTCTCGCTGGATCTTCTCAGTGGGTCGCGTTTCCGATCCGGTGGTAGATTCTGCGAAGCACTACTCTTGCTAGGGCGTGTTAGCAATTCTCCCGGTTTGAGCCCCGTGAGCTCACCTACACGTTAGGGTGAAGCTGAAATAGCCTCTCAAGGCTATCAGCACAGGTAGAAAAAAAAAGAGACCGTGGTCTCCAATAACAATATTGCATGCCCACGAGAAGTATATGAGAACTAGACTACTAAACAACCAACTTTAATATAAGGCCACAAAATTACTAACGAAAACAAAACGCTTTTTATTGTTGCCAAAGGACAGAAAGCTCATTACGTATTAAGCCGTTATTGGAAGTAAGAAGTGGAGGAGGCGTAATGATACTTTTTTTTCTGGATAGTCGTCGTGGCCTAAAGTATAAGGCGGATTCGGTGCATTTGTATCTAGCGATGCACCGGTGTTCGAATCCCGCAGGCGGGTACTAATTTTTCTAATGAAATACGTACTTATCAAATGTTCAGGATTGACTTCCACGATGATAGAATAACATCGTGTCGTAAAACTCAAACCCGCAATAAAAATATAATTTGCGTAATTACTGGTGGTAGGACCTTTTGTGAGTCCGCACGGGTAAAGACCAACCACTCTGCCTATTTCTGTCGTGAAGCAGTAACGCGTTTTGGGTTTAAAAGGTGGGGTAGCTGTTGTACTATAACTGAGACCTTAGAACTCATATCTCAAGGTGAGTGGCTGCATTTACGTTGTAGATGTATATGCGCTCCGGTAACCACTTAACATCAGGTGGACCGTGAGCTATTCCAACTATCAAAGCAATAAAAAATAGAGAAAAAATTGAGTCCTTAGGTACTTTCGTATTATGACATCATGCTTACCCATTAGCTCATTAATGTTTCTAGTTTTATATAGATTCAAAAATGACTTGTATTTAAAAAAAGCCCTCAAAAGCTACGACATAGTAACGGTAGGACGTATCAGGCTTGCATGGGCGGACACAACCGTCTTATCTATACTGCAGTGCATAAATCAAGGATTTCAGTTTGCATGGTCGGTATCGCAATACAAATAAGACTTCGAACGACTTCCTCAAGGTAAAATCATTCATCAATCATTCTGTAATTCAGCATCAAGCAATAAAATATAATCTTGTACCCCTTTTTACATAAATTGCGCGAATGGAGAAGGATAAAACTTCTTACACTTATAGAAAATGTAGAGAAGGAGTGCAGAATGCTATTTTTTTTTTAATTATGCATAAAACATACATTAAATCAATAAAAAAAAACATTACGCACACTTCCCTTTGACTTTTGACACAGCACATACGTTAAAGTATACTCTTTCTTGTTGTCAATTGTCAAACTTTTGTTGTTGTTTATAGTCTGTGGTCAAATTGAGAATAGATTAATATTGTTTGCCTTTAATATTATTTATCTATAGTGTAATTTTGGCGAAATCTGTGAATATATTATAGAAATATAATATTGTATGACAATGGAACCATAATAATGCTTAAACTTATAATTTCAATTAATTATAATCGAATTTCGACCACTGCGGGGCCACTAGTAATTAAAAAAGAGTCACATTAATGTCAGCCAGATCGTTGCACCCACGTTATCAAGTAAACATCCGTTTTAATCTTTTCAAACAGCACTCATCCTTCACAGACGCTACTGAGTTGATCTTGAAGAAGCTCTTTATTGTCACGGGTCAGATGCCCTCATCACCGATGCACGGACCAAAGTAAGCCGAACGCATATTATACGTAAAACGACTGTTATTGAATTTAAGAATGGTTTTTATTATTGGCTGGCTGGGTGGTGGAAGTGGATGAAGAGAGCCGAATACCGGGCCAGTGGTGTGTATTGGGGGTGACATATGCTCAGCAGTGGACGACTGTGGGTTGATGATGATTTTATTGTTGCTTTCGAAGGCAAACGAATCTTCGGCTACCTGGTGATGACTGGTCGATCGCTGATGACCATCCGTAATACCAGAGGTACAGTTATCCGCACTCCACCAAGCTACAAAACGGGATCGATGGACACAGTTGGTTGACGGAATCGGACGATCCTCAGCAGTGAGGGACCGATCGAAGAGAGAGACAGTTATGGCGCGACTAACTCTTGAAATCTCGTTTGAAAAAAAGAGTAATGTCTGATTCTAGTCTAAGATATATAGAAGATTTTTTTCTAGTCGTCATAACTCATCTAATCGTGAATGGGTACTTTAACTCATCGACATTATTAATACCAATACCACACCGGGCTCCGTTAAGGACCCGTTTCAAGGCACATCCAAAAAAGGGCATGTCCTTGCGCTCGGGAAAGAACGCGATTCAAGAAACAAGCCGGGTGAAGTTATGTGTATGTGTGTGTGTGTAATTTGCAAGCAATTTCCCACAAGACGGCTTTTGTTCTGTATAATATATATTGACGACATCATACAAAGCGGCCTTGTTGAAATCAGGCCAATTTTAGCCTAACGTCTCTGCATCTTTTCTTTGGGTATTGTAAAAAGCAACCGAGAGATTCACAGGGGAATGGGCAGTAACGTTTTCTAAAGATTAGGCCGGTATACTACAATCGCCCATTATTAGTCGTAGAGTATATGGTTATACCGCAACGCAGGCTAGTACCATCCTGCCTACATCTGCCTCTTACAATCAGCGGCTTGAAGGCTGTCATGAAATGCAATCGATACTTTAACGCCATGTCTCTAGGGTGGTTGAGATGTCCAGGGGTTCCGATAACAACTGCACAGCAAGCGTATGTCTGCCGACCAATAAAAGCATACAGTATATTTGTCTTGCACGAAATTAAAAAGCCCAGAGCTGTTATAACTTCCTTATTCCTAAGCAAGGTGATTGGATTTTTTATGTGTTATTTAATAATAGCTGTTAACACGCAGATTGTATAGCAACTGACGCACAATTACTTCCACCTCATCACTATTCGTGTATTGCCCTCAATGAATATGAATATGTAGAATTGGCATCGTGGCAAATAAAATAAGACCATTGTTGCACTTTATTGTTCTCTTCTCGAATATTCTCTATTATAATCATAAAAAATTATCCGACATCTTTTTTACGCCGTACTCATTCAATCATCTTCGATCCGGCCACCGTCCTCGCCGAACCCGTCGCTTGCGACGAAGGGCTCGACGAGTAACCTTGGAATTATCGCTGGATCTTCTCAGTGTGTCGCGTTTCCAATCCAGTGGTAGATTCTGCGAAGAACTGCTCTTGCTAGGGCCAGTGTTAGCAACTCTCCCGGTTCGAGCCCCGTGGGTACGCCTACACGTCAAGGCGAAGCTGAAATAGCCTCTCAAGGCTATCAGCAGAGATAGGAAAAAAAAAACATCTTTGCCATCTTCCTTTTACTCTGTCATTCCTTTTTCCCTTTCTTGGCGTTTTCTGTCACCCACATCTTAACGCTCCAATCCACACGCTTTTCACACGTTCCGTTCTTACTAATCCTACAAATATAATTTGTGTACCTACGCTTACTTTTGAACAATAACAACAGACACCGGATTATTACCTACCGCTGAAACTGACCAAATAGTACGTGTTACGAATAGAACTAAACAAAACAACGGCCGTGATCAAAGGGAGATATTTATGTTTTAAATAAACTTGTATAAACTTCACAAGCGGAAGCGTGTGCTCGCAATTTGAATCGCACAAGTAGGGGCCCGACTTCTTTTACATACATATACGTTTGATTGCGAAAGTATTCTGTATACTTTTGGTTTTTATATGAAGACCAAATACACTTTCATTAATGTTGGTTAAATGTTGTTACGATTCATCTTTAAGCGGTCGCAGAAGCATATAGAGATAAACGTGCGAATGTCGCCACCAACCCATTAGCACTGAATAAATACATCAATTTACTAAGAAGCTATTTCATTTTAGTCACTTTCACTTTTTATTTTGCAGAGATAGGCTGCCTTGATTACAAAAAGTTTAGCTGTAAGGGTTACGTTCCCTTTGTCTGTCCAATGAACGAATGAAACAAAAAACTTATCATAGATGTATCCAAGCACATTATTTATGGATTTAACGTAAACAAGATCATGTTTTCTTTCTTTCGATCATGTACCGTCAACGTAAAGAGAAGTAACTACTAGTATTATAGCATAGAATAAACCCAATCAAAATCTAAATCGCGCTACTAACATATTCAAAATTATTTTACCATCCAAT